TATATATATATATATATGTATATATATATATATAAATATAAATAAATTTATATTTATTACTACAAGCAACACAGAGACTGTCCTATGCCTGTGGCCCACCTGCAAATTCAATTAGCCCACCCAAGTAACATGTCATCCTCTCTGTACAGCTTCGGGTGTCTGAGGAGGATAGATCTTTGTGGGAAGCGCGGGAGTGCGCACTGGAGCAAAAGATCGAGGATGGCGACGACAAAATCCTGAAGTTGGAGAGTTGCTGGCTGGAGGCCCAGGGTCTGTGTAAGACTGCGAATGAGCAATTAGCTGAGACCCAGGCCCAGCAGGAGACGCTGGACAAGAAGTACAACAAGGCCAAGAAGCTGCTCAAGGACTACCAGCAGAAGTAAGTTTGTCTCGAGTTACGCGATGCTTTACTGTTGAATTCAGTGGTTCACTCAAGTCAATTTATTCATATATCTAGAGCATACAAACAAGTTATTTGACATAGAAGTTAAGTATTGTTCAAGTAAAGTATAAGATCTGATTTTACATTTTGGAGTTCAGTGGCGCAGTCATAACCACATCCATTAGAACGTGTTTACAAGCTGAAGGACTGAAGGGAAACCACATTTCCTTGTTTCCTCCTCAGAGAGATCGACTTTGTGAAGAAAGAGGAGGAGCTGAAAAAACTTCTAGATGAAAAAGACAAGTGGTATAAGGAGCAGCTGGAGAGCTTGCAGAACAGGGTAAGACTTGAAAAGTAAATGCACACACACACACACACACACACACTGCAGCAGAGACACTGAAATAAGCCTGAGTGTTGTTGTATCTACAGATAGCTGTGCTGGAGTCCAGAGGGGCCTCAGACGAGGAGCGTCACAATGGTCAGCACTCAGCGGCAGACGAGAGATTAAACGGCCAAGACCCAGCCGCCAACTCGCAATCTGTTGACTCACTACTCGGTACAAAGGGTTACTAGAACATAATTTAATTTAAACCGGGTACTATGCGCGTCACACTTTAATTGTGTGATCTGTTAAACATTCACAAGCCCGCATCATAAACTCCAGTGAGCCTGGTAAATGATTTAAAACCGTGCACACTGTCTTATGACTTATTTTGTTTGTTTGTTTTTCCTCCTGTGCAGAAAAGGACTGGAGTGAGTCGGTGCCTGAGACTGAGCGCTTGGACACCAGTGCGCACCGAGCAAAAGGCGTGCTGGCTCAGAAGGCCAAGCGTCAGCCTCCATCGAGGAGCAAACTGAAGGAGAGCCTCGCAGTGGCTTCAAGTCACTCTCAGGTCAGCCAGGACCATCCTTTAGTGATACGTACAGCCACCTGTGGCCACACGTAAGCTATGACATGAAACCTAAAACCCTGTCAAGGCATGTCATGCTCAAAATGCTATCTCGGGGGTAAAGCTAATGGTGACAAAACACCTCGTTTCTCCCTTTTATAGAAGAAGCAGAGCACATATAAACTTGTGAATTTTACTGCCACCTTTTCTGTGGCTGATCTGTTTTCTTGCTGTCAAAGCAAAATCTTGAAAAAACTCACTGTTGTACTGTTGAGGCAGCACTTTGCCTGAAATAGGGAATTGCCTTAAGATACTCACAGCTGCTCTAAAACACAAGAGGGAACCTCCTTGAGTGTCTCTTTGATCGTACAAAACAGTAATGCACCTTTTATAGTGTGTGTGTGTGTGTGTGTGTGTGTGTGTGTGTGTGTGTGTGTGTTCATGACTCAGCCGATCGGAGCTTTCTGTTATGTAATAAGCTTTTATCCCCTCCTTGCATTGTCCTTAAATAATTAGCTTTGTCCCTACAGGAAACCGAAGAGGAGGAGGAGGAGGAGGAGGAGGAGATGGAGGAGGAGGAGCAGGAATCTCCCAGGAGGAGGAGGTCCATCCAGGAGAGCCTGGCCCTTCCAGTGCCTGTCTGCTATTCTGGGAATGGACAAAAAGAAGATCCAGGAGAGACCAGGGACGTATCCAGGAGTAAGTCAGAGCTGTCCAGCAGCCCGTCTTTGTCTCCATCACAGGGAGACGGTATCGAAAGCAGCGGAAGTCCCTCTTTGTCCTCTCAAAAAGACACCTTGTCCCCACATTCCCCCTCTGGATTCATGCGCAATGTCAAGAAGAGGGAGTCTAAAGGAAAGAGCAAAGAGCTCAAAGGTATGCACGTAGACCAATATGGGACGCCTGCCATCGCAGCACTTCTTGTTGCTTTGTTACTGAGCCTATTGTTTCATTACAGAGGAACTAAATGAAGCCTCATCAGCAGGAAAACCTAAAAGACGATTTCCAGACTTTGGGTGAGACTCCGTCGTGATCACTGTCATTGGTCTCCCAAGACACACCGCCTTTCTTTGCACTAAACTAAAACATTTTTACATCAACAGAGGTCTCCGGAAGTCAGGTGGCAAAGGAAAGAAACATGACAAGGAGGCTATGAGAGCATCTCTGGACAGCAGGTTTGTGATTGCTCAACTTCATTTATTAACAATTTAAAGGTGAGGAATATTGCAAATAGTTTTGTAACACATTTGTTGGAGTTATCCGTTGATCCATGTTGCTGTAGGTGTTAGGGAAAGTGCCACATATAGATAAATAAAGATACGTAAATATTGAGCCACACAAGACCGGCTTTCTACTTTCTTGTTTGACAGAAATGTAGTTTATCTGATGGTCATCACCTAATGAGCCATGTTTAATGCAACACGTGATGTATTAAGCTGTCACATGTTTACGGTGAGTGTGGATCATTTCTCCAATGCCCAGGGGATCGGCAGAGTTACTGGAGGAGTCTGGAGGGAACCTGTCTCCTGCGGATTCGATGACCTCCATCCCCACCTGTATGCCTTTCTCCTGGTTCGGAGACAAAGAGCGGGACCGAGACAGAGAGCCCTCTTCTTCCAGCAGCAGCCTGCCGTATGCTGCAGAGACCAGCAGTGAGCAAAGCCAGGACCGCAAGAATAAGGTTCGAATAACAGTCCGGGTCTGTCCTCCATCATCATACTGTATTTCTGTCTTCATTGTAAGAGTAAAACTAGTAGAAACATAACAGGAGGCAGTAGCCAGACATGTGCTGTCATTGGCTAGTTCTCTACATGAGATACACTAACTGGATCCACATGTTAGCCAGACAGCCAGCAGGGGAGGATTTGGTGGCTTTTCAATGAGTTTGCAAATAGCGACGCATCAAACGCATCCAGTGAAGCGCGTGGCTAACTGTCACACGGCGCTGCTGTTCCCATGAAGCCGTTTAATGAGTTCAAGACACCGGCTGAAGAAAATGATTACTCAGAGAATAGTTTTGGTTTGGTTGCCGTGTGCATTATGGTAGTTTGTGTCAGTGCTTTGCTGCCTGGATGTTTAATCTCACTGAACCGTGTTTCCTTTAAACAGACAAATCTCTCCTGGTCCTCTTTATTCAGTCGCTCATTAGATTTGGTACAGTATGTTTGTTTTACCTTTTTGATTTTAGATACCACGCTAGAGCATCACTAACAAATAGAGTTCTGCGATTTGTAATTTTTCACCCCCACACATCCTATGAATAATTCACCTTTTTCTATTCAACTGGGTATGTGGTAGTGTTGTAGGAAACTAATGGTGTCTAACTGTCCTTGTATCCACATTCAGAAAGCCTCACAGCTCGTGTTAAGAGGAGACAGACGTAGTTTGTCGGGCTTGTTGCACCAGCTAATGGGAAGTTTGTGTGTAACAATCAACACTAACTGCTGCGTTGTAACTAACTTGAATAGTGCAACATGTTTTTTTAGAGTGTACTTCTTCCGCTCCATTAAAATGAAACTTCATATGAACTTACACATAGCTGGTGCAACAGCCTGCAAGTCTGGGTAATATTTCCCTGATTCCCAATATAGTTTAAAAACCAATCTCTTGATGAATCAAATAATAAATCTCACAGCATCAACTAAATGAAAAACATTACCCCATACCTGTTGTGTGTGTGCTTGTGTGTTAGTATAGTTAGTTGCTGTAGTTTAGAGGTTGTTGATGTACTTTTGGTGGTGGATTGGTTTTTAATTCCTCTTGAATATTGTGCTGCATAGCGTGTTGAATATCACAGTCACTCACTTGGATTGCTGCCACTGAAATGGTTTATCACGATCACTTCAGTCCTAATGGAAGCAGCGCTGCTCTCACCCCTCACAGCCGTCGTGTTTTGCTTGTCCTGCTACAGAACTGTTGTTTGCTGATGTGTTGCTTTAGTAAATGCGTTCCTTGTTTCCCCCACTTGTTCCAGAATTTTTCAGTCATAGATGATTCTAACCCTGCCAGCCTCGGTTCAGACACCTCTGGGTTAGTCGCTGAACCCGATCTGTCTGGGCGCTCACACACTTTAATCTTCTCTTCCAGTGAGGTGAGTGCTCTCCTTGTTGCCGTGCGGGATGCCTCGATGCCGCTGAAAGGGGACATTCTCAAGCATGCTCTTTGAGCCGTTCCCCCTTTCACAGCTGAGAGTGAATCATGAATGCAGAGGGAATTGAAGAGAGCTGCGTGTGTGTGTGTTAAAGCTGTTTTGTTTTTTCCTAAGTCAGCTGTGATGTTGCAGTTCAGCGTTTGTTAAACCGTCAACCGGTGCTTCACGTTCTTTATGAGCTTTGGCCGACCACAGAAGCATGTCGACTGCTCTGCTGCCTGCTCAGTGGTGTTTCAGCAGCAGTCTGCTCTCGTGTTACAGAGTCCGAGTCTCTCTCAGTGAAACGAACAGAATGAAGACACACAGACCTGTGTCTGAGAATGTCATCGATGTTTTTGATGCCATTGCACGCTTGTTTTCTTGGTGCTAGCTTAGGAAGTGTATACACTGCACACAGTTTTGTTCAACAGAACTTGCACTTCATGTTCTTTTTGCTTGTTGTATACATATTGCAGTTGGCTTCACTTTTCAGCAATTTCTCCACCTCCACCTATATATACCTATATAATAATTCATTTCAAACGGCATTTATTTAAGTGATTTTGTGATGATTAATGTTTGCATTTCACCACTTAACTGTGCTTTAGGAACATTGATCAACGCTGTCAAACACATACAGTACAGTCCATGGCATCGACTGCACATTGTTGGAAGGCACCAAATATATATATATATATATATATATATATATATATATATATAAAATTTGGTATTCTTCCACACACTACACATGAGCAATCCTTTTCCTTTAGTGTACAACAACATATGACATGAAACACACACAGGGATTCTCACTCTTACTTTTATAATGTCTCTTTGCACCACCTGTGTCTTCTGTAGACTTTAGACGATGAACCAGTGGCCACAGGGAAAGAGTATCAGTGGCAGAACCGGCCTGTGTGTGAATGGACCAATCAACAGGTCTGTCACTGGTTGATGGGCATGAACATGGACCAATACACCCCAGAGTTCACAGCTAAGGGAGTGGATGGACAACAGCTCTTGTACTTGGACAGTGAAAAGTTGAAGGTAAAAATGAAACCTAGCATGATAATTATGATAATAATTATCTCATACAAGGCCTCTTTCATTGCAAAAGAAGTCTATTGTTCAGTGAAATATTGTCAGCCTTTCACTGCCACCTTGTGGCCAGACTATGGTAGCGTTATTTTGTCCTCACTGTGCTCTTTTTTTCCTTCAGGCACTCGGTGTGTCAAGTCAAAGCGACCGTTCAACCATCAAGAAGAAGCTGAAGGACATGCGTAAGGCCCAGGAGAAGCTGGAGAAGCAGAGAGAGAAAAGAGAGAAGGAGGTGCGGCGCAGCGGGAAACTGCCGGTCAGCACCGACTCTGTCTGCTGAGGTAGCAGCTCTGTTCTCTGGATATTCATGCATCCCATAAACCTCATCACTACCGGGCCCCTGAGCACCCCGAGAACCACAGAAATGACTGTTGTGCCAGTTGTGATTCACGTTCATCCAGTAGCTCCTGATTCTTCTCTCGTCACTGATTCTCTGGAATGTTTTAACAAACTTCAGCTCAAACCATTTTAAATGAAAGATGGGGAATGTAAAAAAAAAAAAAAAAAACACGTTTGGTATGTGACCAAAAATGGAATTGTAACATTTTTTTTACCACTACAAGCTCGAAGCTATGATTTAAAAAAAAAAAAAAAAAAAAAAAATTGTTTTCAGAATGTAATGTAGTAGTTGCGGATCATGCACACATTTAAATATGGAAGTCAAATGTGTACTGCTTCTCCAGCATTTTCTATATTTGCTAGTACAACTTGTTTCATGTACATGAACTCTTCTGCAGGAACGGTTGTTGTACAATTCAGATAAAAGCACTATATTTGTCTTTTAAGCTTCAATGGGCGACAAGGTTTTAAATGTATAAATACGTTTTATACATGTGCTTATTAACTGCATATCTTTTTTTCTTTTCTCTTTTTTTTTTTTTTTACTTAAATACCATTGTTCATTTTATACTGTATACATTTTTCTACTAAGTAGAATAGCTAGGCCCTGGCAGCAAACAGACGGAGTAGGGACGAGGTGAACGCTGACTCGGCAGGTCTGCTACACGTACGCCTCGCTGCCGCTCCACCAGACGGTCAGCGTGCCCATGACAAGGACCCGTGTGAGTCGTGCATGAATGCGAGGCTGGACAATGATTTGTTCTCAGCCGAAAACCCCAAGTGCTTCCTTTTCGTCTTCTCTCACGCGTGACGCCATGTTCTGTGTGCCAAGCAAGAAAATCATGGTTTCCACCTCTTGTGAATTAAAGAGGCATTTCTTGGTACATACAGCATCAATAAACTAATTTTCACTTTATGTGGTGTGCTTGTGTTGTGTTCTAGCTTATCTTATCGTGCAACACATCGAGTGACAGTTTCCACCATCACTTCCATCCACATAAACACAAATACACATCCGTCTGTGTGGAGATATTTATTTTTCACTGAACATGATCCATACAGATTAACTGCTTCAGAGTAACACGGACAATGTTGTGTAGCTTGTTTGACAGGATGGGTCTTAATAATACAACCACAGTAATTCAACCATGTTTCTCTTAAAAGTTGCAAACCCAATACAACATAGCTTAGAAGTTTGTGCGTCAGCAATGTTGAATTATAATAATCCCCTTTACTTGTAAATAGGTGCAAAATCTGTTTACAGACAAAAAAAATCATTTTGATCACGTTGCATCCAACTGATGAATAGCCACTTTTTAACCACTTCGACTCATCAGCAGAAACTTCCAACGGATTAAAAAAAACAAGCAGCAACTAGTTATCTAACAAGTTTCCAACTTCCCACGAAGCAGAGGAGCTGAGCTGAACGAGCTCCTCTCACAGACGGACTAACAGTTAAAGCTTTTTAGCTTTCAGCTAAATGAAAGCAGCTACGCGTTGAAGGAAATGCTGTAAAGCAGCAGAGCAAACGGTTCAAACCTTAACCACGCTGATAGTTTCAGTCGGTGACGTTTTCAGATGACGAAGCGTCGTTAAATGGAATTTAGTTTGTTCTCAAAGCATCGAAAAATGACCTTTCAACTGATTTAATCAGCTGAAACGATTACGTTATTGTTTGTCCAGCATACGCCAGCTCATCCATGATAATCTGAGGGTTATGTTACACGGTCAATGTTATCAGCCTGAAAGTTCCAGCATTAGTTAGACTTAATAAGCCATCAATGTGGCTTTCCAGAGTCATCACTATTCATGGTACCAGTAGGAGTGAGAAGGAAACATGTTTTTCTTCACAATAAAACTATTGACCTATGAGGAATTTGGCACACCACCACCTCTCTTGCATATGTTGCTGCAGGACCGCAGCCTGTTGGATCTAGAAACTGCGAAATGTCGTCATGTCCTTCGGCTCTTTGCTGGGGACGCACCAGTCGTCGGCCTCGTGGATCGTCTTGTAGTGTTTCCAGGCCGACTTGTTGTACACGGGGAGCCTCTCAATGGACTCCGTGGAGAGCGCCTAAACAAGAAGGTAAAACACGCTGTAAATAACGCACGGCGCACACACATGATATTCATGCACAACTCATTTTACCCGGATGTAGATCACAGCATCGGTTCCATAGCCCTCCAGAGAGTACAGCTTCAGGTCCCCTTGAAAGTAGCGGGCGTACAGTCGAGAGATGGGCAGGCCGTGCCCGTAACCAGCCTGGACACAAGTAGAACAGAGCAGTCAGCAGTTTTATGGCAGAGAGCACATGATATAAGAGGCATGTGTGTTAAGAGCATGTGGGTTTCTTTTGTTTTTAATTAAAACAAAAAGTATCACAGTCTAACTATAGACATAAGTAGTAACAGTAGTTCAGTCCCAGATGTATCCTCTGATTAATCTTAAAAGCTTTATGAGGTTATTATGTTATCTTAGTGTTATTAGTTCCGCATGGTTTTATATCACATTGGATAAGTCGAGAGCAAAGTCAGAGGAGTGACGATCACACATGAGGGTTACTGACCAGAGGAGCAGCTCGGGCCCCGTCGATGCTGGGTCGAGGAGCCGTGGAGTACGTGTAGGTGAACAACCTGTCGATCTTGCGCAGCGGCACGCCTCCTCCGCGATCACTCACCTGGAGAAGAACATCTTGTTTGGTTTACGCTGGCATGTTTTTTTTTTGGGGGGGGGGTATAACTGGTGAACGCAGCACAGCTTTTACCTTGACCGTCAGATCTTCAGTTCCCAGAGCGACCTGCGCGTGGATAGGAGGGTACTCCATGGCGTCGCCGTACAGCTCCATGGTGGCCCGCATGGCGTTCTGCAGCGATGAAAGCACAGACAGCAGCGTGACGTGAAACCGTATCGTGTGAAACACCGGCTGTCGAATTATCAGTTCAAAAAGCAAATCCTACCTTAAAAAGTTCAAAGACCATGTGGTACAAATGAGATGGAACATAGACCACAGTGATGGGGTTGACTGTCGGGGACAAAGAGATGATAATAAAGTTGATCAGGTACGGTTGAAGTAATTCATGTGTATCTATTCATTAATAATGCAAGTTAAAGTGTTGTTTTTCTGACTAACGTCTGAAGTAGTTACCTTTGAATTCCTCCAGTATCAGCTCCGGAGAGTTCACGTAGTACCGGTCACAAAGGTTTCGTGCATTGTCATAGGCGTCTGCAGGGAAGAGGGTTTTTTTTTTTTTTTTTTAGGTGGGAACACAAATGACAACATTTCTGAGCACTTCAACATAAAAGTGTTCTCACCTCTGATGATCTCGCTGACACGACAGTTTGGATCAATACTGCCGATCTGTTTGGGATGAGCTGGGTTCACCTTCACCTTCCCACCAAAGAGGAGCGCTGCAATCAAACACACAGGGATATAACCGTGCGCTACAATAGAAAGTGTTCATTATTCTAATAAAAATAGACACTTGAGGACATATTACTCTCCCAATTCTCAATGAATTGATCAACCGTCTGAAAAATGCAACATTTAATCAGAAACTGGAGATTTCTTACTTAATTCTCTCCAATTATTTTGTTATTTCTCAACTCGAAAACCCTAAATTCTGACACTCAACACACTCTGTCCCGACTCACTGGGAGCGTGACGACCAAAAAGTAAAACTTTCCATCTCTGCACTCTCTAATCTCCTAAACACAGAGAAGCCCATTGTTAATGTTATGACCGTGGCGTGTTTCTTTCATTCTTCCTCCCTCATAATCTAATTGTAATGTTTTCTTTTCTTTTATATGCCTCCTGTTCCTTATTATGTGTTTGCCATGCACAAAGCAGGAACTGTGTCTTAATAATAACAACAATATTTAGTATTAACATTATTGTTATAACATCCAGGTCTAGGCGTCTTTGCCTGTCTGGGTGTCTGGGTGTTATCTGTTTTTGTTTTCCTGTGGCAGTGGCGTTAAAAGCTTGCAGACCATCTTTTATGGAGCAGAAGAGGGTCTACTCACTGTGCTGGTTGAGCAACATCCTGATGGATATCCTGCTCATGTAGAACCGATCCAGAAAATACTGAACATTTTGGCTGACGACGGGGTCCGTGCCGTGGTTCTCCTTGTACTCCACGACTCCCTGAGCCATGGTGGGGATTACATCATTGTGCCGATCTCTGATCTTTATCACCGCATCTGTGAACCTAAATGAAGACGCAACGATTACTGCGAGGCATTAGATCATCGTATAGAGGAAATAAAACATCATAGTGTTTTCATCTACTTACTCATATGTGACTTTCTCATCACCTGCATTCTTGTCCTTGAACTCAAGAATCTCTTGAAGACTTTGCATGTACCTGCACATGAAACAGCACCCTTTATTGGCATCGGCGGCGTAGTTTTGAGAGACAACCAACTAAGAAAAGGCAGAAGGAAGCCTGCGTACCAGCCCTGGACCAATCGCACCGATGGAGTCCTCAGTAAGTTGTCCGGCAACAAGTTGATCTCTTTCATGATGTTTGCCAACCTCACGGGCAACTCCTGTCTGAGGAAGGTGAACGAGGTTTTCTCACAAGCATTTTCTGAGCCTGAAAACATTATTGGGAGACAAAAATGATTAATCATCGATGTTGTCAGGTTGGGTGATATGATAATGCATCATTTTGCCATGCTGAGGCAGCTATTAAAAGGCCCATTGTGGGCAATGTTGCAAAATAATGACCCAGACCGGTTATGCTAATATTGGATTTGTATGATTTTTGCATTCATGTTAAGCACTTTCTTAACTTGTCAGGTGTCTTTGTTGGAATAGTCCAAAAACAGACATACATGCCTGTCTGGTTATTTTAACTAGAAAGAGTTTCTCGTTCATTTTTTTTCTGGTAAATTTACTGTCACGTGAATTTTATTTATAAAGCCCAATATCAGAGCTTTGCCTCGGGGGGCTTTACAATCTGTACACCCTCTGTGCCTGGATCCTTGCAGCTGGAAGGGAAAAATGTGTGTGTGTGTGTGTGTGTACCGACTCTTACCGAAATCCAGAAACTGCTTCATTGACAGAGGAGAGGGCGAGAATTTGGAGTAATAGTCAATGTCCTTTCCTATGGACACGCTGCTCCTCAGAAACCTTAAAATCCGCATCGTGGCAGCTCCTGTGTTCGCAGACGATGGCGGTGGTTGGTTAGTTTATACTTACAGGTCACATCTACAGTTCCGACACGCGGTTAAGTTAGCTGATCTTTGTTGACATTAGCTTCCACGCTAGCGTCAGCAGCACGCAAACACACTCGTGGAATCAACGATCTGTTACTGAGTGATTTGGTGAAATTTGTGAATAGTTGCCGTCATTTTTTATTAATCGCCCTTTAATTGTTCATAGAGAAGTGGAATAAATGTCAACACGGAAAGAAGGCTATGCGGGTAACCCAGACAAAGAGTCATAGCTGTGTCAAGAGCGTGAGTATTTCGGCTATGTTAACATACTTTAAAAAATACTTTAATGATCATATATGCTTCTTATTTTGTAGGTATAAGAAATATATCATAAATATAAAACAGATTAAAAATATTAAATGAATGGGAAAGCTTAATGGAATATTTTATTAATTTTAAAATTGTTTTTTTAATGCTAATACAAAAAAAGTGTATTTCGTATAGTTTTTCAGAAAAAAATACATTTTTGAATGTAATTGGCATTAGGAATGTAAAAATATGCAATTAAATAAATCCTTTCGTACGTATATTTTCTTTTACATTTAGTGTTACGTTAGTGTTTCGTTTTCTTACACGGCTCGTAATCTGCATGAAGTGTATTATCTTGTCGTAGACTCAGTACTCTTGGGAAGAAAGTAGGGGTCTGTTTTCCCTGGGAGAAGTTATTCAGGCAGCAAGCTCTACCAATCACATTTGAGTTCGTCTGGTCCGGGCCTTTATTGGGCATTAGAGCTGTCAATCTTACCAAGAGGCGGGCTTTGTGCGTTGGCAGACAAGACTCGGGGCAAACTAATCAATGGTTGGTCCTATCTGCCGTCATTTCCTTTAGTCGTCGACAGAAATGCCTGTCTAAAGAAGTAGGAAACAGAGGGCCACGTTTTGCGAAGGATGTTTTGTTAGTTTTTAAGTCTCCGTCTGGGTCAACGTAACGTTCCAAAACCCGTGATTGACTTCATCAACCGCTAACGTCTGGAAAGCCATCGTAGCAGAGAAACTATTCCCTCGGGTTTCGTGGGTTGAACCAGCTCGTGTTGGTGACCCGCCAAAAGCCGCAGAAGTTCAGCGAGGAAGTGACCATTTTGTGAGTTAGCTGGTTTCAATAGCTTTATATTTAAGTTGTTGTCCCGCGAAACGGAAATGAGTGGCGGTTTCAACTTCGGGCAAGCCTCCACGGGCTTCTCTTTCGGAGCTCCGAAGCCAGCAGTCCCAGGCCCCGGCACGGGCTTTGGGATGACTAACGCCGTACCTGCAGCCACTGGTGGGGGCTTCGCGTTTGGCACTCCGACTCAGGCCACCGCCGCCACCAACCCCACCGGCTCCTTCAGCTTTGGCACCCCAGCGAAGAGCACAGCAGCCGTCGGAGGCTTCTCTTTTGGGACCCCCAACGCCTCGTTTGGCATGGGCACTCCTCAACCCGCAGCGCCACAAGGGCTGACTTTAGGCACCACAGCAGCTCCGGCTGCGGGGCCAGGGTTCACACTGAGCGGGGGTTTCCCACCACAGACTGCCGCTCCTGCAGGAGGGGGCTTTGCCTTTGGTACTCCTCAAGCTCAACCCCAACCTGCAATGCAACCCCAACCTGCAATGCAACCCCAACCTGCAATGCAACCCCAACCTGCAATGCAACCCCAACCTGCAATGCAACCCCAATCTGCAATGCAACCCCAATCTGCAATGCAACCCCAACCTGCAATGCAACTCCAATCTGCAATGCAACCCCAACTTGCGGCACCACCAACAGCCACAGTAACAGCGACTACAGGAGCGGGCGGCCTCTCATTTGGAGGGTTCAGCTTTGGAGCAACCAAGGTCCAGGCGACTACACCTGCAGCCCCCGTTGCTGCCCCAGGAGGGGGCTTCAGCTTTGGCACCGGTGCTCCATCCAACCTCACTATGAGCATGCAGCCCCAGCAGCCAGCACCCACTGCTGCAGTCACAGCCAGTCAGGGTGGAGGATTTGCCTTTGGGATTAAACCCTCATCCACCCCAGCTCCTCCCGCATCCACCCAGGCAGTCCACGCTCCAGGCCCGTCTCTCTTTGCTTCACCCATCTCTACAACAGCTGCTGTTGCTGCTGCCGCCGCCGCCGCCACTGCTGCTGCTGTTACTGCCGCTGCACCAGGTACAGGCTTTACTATGGGTGCAGCTCCAACTTTAGCAGCAAGCACGGCTGCTGCAACCACTACGGCAGCTGGTGGAGGTCTGGCTTTTATGCTGAAACCTCTGGGGGCAGCCACCATCACCTCCACCTCTGTCCCTACCGCCACTGTTGCAGCTGCCACAACAGGTGTTGCGACGGCCTTCACACTGGGGCTCAAACCTTCAACAGGTATCGCAGTGACGTCTACGGCAACAACGCTCTCTACAACCGCCGCTCCTCCGGTGATGACCTACGCCCAGCTAGAGGGTCTCATTAACAAGTGGAGTCTGGAGCTTGAGGACCAAGAGAGGCATTTCTTGCAGCAGGCGACTCAGGTGAACGCCTGGGACCGCATGCTGGTGGAGAACGGAGAGAGGATCACATCCCTGCACAAGGAGATGGAGAAGGTGAAGCTGGACCAGAGGAGGCTCAACCAGGAGCTGGACTTCATCCTTTCCCAACAGAAAGAGCTGGAGGACTTGCTCTGCCCGCTCGAGGAGTCGGTGAAAGAGCAGAGTGGGACCATCTACATGCAGAACGCCGACGAGGAACGCGAGAGAACCTACAAGCTTGCCGAGAACGTGGACGCGCAGCTGAAGAGGATGTCGCAGGATCTGAAGGAGATCATCGAGCACCTGAACACGTCCAGCGGCCCAGCAGACACCAGTGACCCGGTGAGACGAGGCCTCGTTCAAGTTGAACCTACCTTGACACTTTTTTGTTGCTTTGACATATATTGTAGCACATTTAAATTTACCTCTGTGTTTTTTGTTTTTCAGCTTCAGCAGATCTGTAAAATCCTCAACACCCACATGGATTCACTTCAGTGGATCGATCAGAACTCTGTTCTTCTGCAGAGGAGAGTGGAAGAAGTGTCGAAGTTGTGTGACAACCAGCGCAAGGAGCAGGAGAAAACCTTTCGTCTGACATTCGACTGATCTGGAATAAATACGTTGACGTGTATATTGACTAAATGATGCTTTTTGTCGGTCGTTCTAAAGAGGGAAGTCTTTTTAGGGGGTTTAGATATTTTAAATGCAGAAACAAAGCCAGTCGCAATTCCTGTTAACTTGCTTTATCTTTCGTTTGGTTGCATAAAGATCAATATTTCCGATGCAGTAGCTTTTATATAGAGTGAAATGATCTGTTCCCATGTAAATGCTATGGTTGTTCTAAATAATATCATTAAATAAATCAATGACGTAAGGCTCTGTTTTATTGGATAGCCAATAAGAATGTCTGCCGTATATCTCAGTGGTAATGTTTAAGTCACAGAGGTAGAGGTATGATTACTTAGTCAATTGACAGAAACTTTCATCAACTGTTTTGATTATCAGTTAAGTGTTTTATCTAACAAAAAGCCAAATGTTACCTAGTTCTAGCTTCTCTTCTGTGGTGGTAAACTGATTATATTTTTGGGGTTTTGACTGTTGGTCAAAACAAATAATTTGAAGATGTCACATTTGTCTTCAGGGAATTGTGATGTGCATCATTCACCATTTTCTGTTATCTTATAGACTCAACGAGAAAGTGAATTCAATGATTAGCTCCAGCTCTACATTTATGTAGGTTTATACTTCCAATGTTAATGAAAAGCCACAGTAGCATTCAAAGCATTTTATTACACTTGACAACTCAACAAGTCATTCACCTTGAATTTAATCTATAACACTTACATGGCAGTTTCTACTGACCACCTTCCCTTTGGATTCCACACATGGAACAAAACATCTTGATTCAGTGTTGACCTACAGTACAGTGGATGCTACCTGACGCCACAACAGTGAGTAGAGGTGAAGAATCAACGAACATAAGTGGAGGGAAAAGACCTCAGCACGCAATGTGACTCAGCCGTGCTCATTTATGCACCTTCAATTATTGTGAAATGATAATGTACCTAAAGAGATTTGTTTGTTGAAATTAGACAAAAATACAGATTAATGTTCAGATAATACTGGGCGAGGAGCACTTTCCTTGCATAGATTTTTGGCTTTTTTAAGATGTTACAACTCCACAGAAACAGTAAACTTTGCTCTTCGTCCATCCGCTCAAGGACACACGACACTGAAAAAAACTCTTTGGCTGCATGAAATTACTTTCTTATCAAAAAATAAATATACAGTGTGCAGAAGTATTTAAATATATACAAAACGTACAAAAAAACATTTCATCATCTATACAGTGTAACAATTCAAAGACATGAACTCAACCGAGTCCTGAAAAAGTAAAATCACTGATGTTCTCCAAGCGAACAAGAAAAGGCAAAGTTCATCTGGGAAAAAAAGAAATCCGGTTAAAGCTGTTTGTAAAAATCATTTTAACGTTTAAAGTCATGAGTAACTTTCACCGTCCATCCAATTTGTCATCCACTGCTTTTTTTCAAAAGGATCAAGCTTGACTTTTCCGTCTTTGTTCTCAGGAGTGTCCTTTCTGATCCGCACTGCGTGGTAACGAGGGACGCTGTCCTCTTGTTTGGAGCGTTTAAAGAATCCACACTGGGAAGGGAGATTTAAAAAAAAACAACAAGATGCATTATTAAAAACTGATAAATGTCGGAAATATGCATGCAACGCTGTAAACAGCGAGAGGAGAGATGTGCAGCAATGTTGAGCATGCGTTGCAGTTTTTAATTGGACGTTTCAAACAGCCAAAGCAGTAACAGCGATGTCAGAAAAGGCACCTGCAGAGCAGAACAATTACCCCCAAAAGATGAAAATAATAAGCCTCTTGGTAAGACAATGCAAAGATTTTTTTGGGGGGGGAAATCCAGAGACACATATTGTATGAATAGCAGAAACCTTAAGCACTTCATCAATACATCACATATTTGTATTTTGTTTGATGTAAATGTTAAGGTTTCATCAGCTAACTACATTATGTGTCTGATTGAATATTTCTGCATGAAGTCAGCTGGCTGGAAAGCGAGTTCATTAGTCACTGCGGTGGTCACACTCCATGCTGACAGCTGGTTTTACCCCTGCTCATAAATCAGGCCTCAGCAGAGAGCTTGTCTTTGTCAGAGGGCTGAACATGGATCTCTGCCTTCTGATATGCAGCATCATATTGGTCTTTTGATGGTCTCTTGAAGAAACCACACTGAGGGGGAGCAAGTGATGGAAGTGTTTAGAGTGACATGATAGTCAACAGCGGTTATGATGTCTTCCATCAAAACACCAGAGAAAATGCATTTTTATGAACATAATACTTTATCTGGAGAGTCCAGATGTTGATGCTCAAACGTCACCTGACAAAAACTAAATGTTACTTTGCTTATTTACAGATGCAGAATATTGTAACCTACTGAATTAATCCATTTTAGATTAAAGACATATACTATATTCACATACAGACAATAAAGTATGCATTGTGAATATCTGTTTAGTTATTCTATAACATATAGATATATATATATATTTGTTCAAACTGTAATTTTTATTATAGAGTATAATGTTAATCTCAATGTCAAAAAAGAACGGTTACCACAGCCATGACGCCTTCAAATAATGATTATTTTGACAGTCAAAAAAATAATAAAGTTATTCACATTAATATGAAAACAAAGAGAGCCAAAATACTATTATTTTTACATCTGTAACCAACAAATAAAAATCAAAAAACAAAGTGATCAAGTCCTTTTTTATTAACTCACGTCTTGTACTGTTCAAAAACCTTTTCTGATCATAAGCAGTTTAATGAAGTTTATGTTTTACTCCTATTGTCATCCTGTATTATAAACATGTGTGATATGAAGGTGTATCATCCCTGTATCTCACCTTCCACAGCAGAAACACCAACAAAGCCAAAATCAAGATGCCTGCAAGAACAGCCACCAGTATGATCCACCAGGGAACTCCACTGTGCTGTGCGACTGCACTTTCAGGCGACACTGCCACTGTCACCTGCAATAAAACACCGAGGCGAGGAAAAACCAAGAGACCGGGTGAGTCAGGACCGAGACGAAACGCCAATAAGACGTCGGTAGCTGTTGAGCTGCTTACATCAGTGTGAGGAGTTCTCAGGATCATGTTTTTAGCCTGAGTGTGGAGGACGAGCGAGGCCTTCACAACAATGTGCAAGTTTGAGATGGAGGCGTAATCCTGTGTGGAAACAAAAGCAGCCGCTCAGGTCAGACAGTCGTTCCACATCACAGATGAGACACGTGGAACGCATTAAAAAGACGACGTGTCACCTCGATGAAGGTCGAGTTCCAGACACGAGATCTCAGTTCAAGCGATGTACCGTCCAGGCCCTGAAGGGGGCACTTGAGCACCACACATTTGATCTCACTGTCACACGTCTGAGGGGGAGAGAGAGTCCATTACACATCAGAGCAATCTACAACTTTATAAACTGTGATGGATGACAAGTGTAGTTATTTTACTTGTGTTAAACTGCTTTCAGTACACTGTAAAAAATACTCAAATGATTGACTGAAAATAGTGATAAATGCTCATCACAATTACCCAAGAGCCCAATAGTCCACACCTCAACATTATTAGAAATAAATAGAAATAATTAAAAGGACAAACAGCAAATATATTTAAGGAGCTGGGGCCAGGAAATAAAAAAATATTTTTAAATAATTGCCAATGCATTTTCTGTCAATAGATCGACTAATCATTTCAGCTGTACTTGTATATATACTGTTGGTATAGTTTAACTTTTAACACAACATCATATCTTATAAGCTCTTCATATGTTTTAACTGTGGGCATGAAAAGAAAACCTCACTTACTTCACTTTTATACTTAAAGCGTGGTACTTGAGTAAATGTAGTTAGCTACATTTCACGACTGTTTATGAAGAAATGTGAACGCATCCATACAAAGACTCACCAAAACCTTCTTCTTTTCTGACAGTGACGACATTTTGCCAACAGGTTTTCTTTCTCCGATTTCACGTTTTGTCCTGGATGCGGAGGCATGCTGAAAGTACATTATATTCTCATTAATTCAAAGTGGAACCAAGCAGACTTCAGGTCAGTGCTGATTTCACCTCGAGTACATGAAAGTGAAGGTTTAGAAACACTAACCTGGATGTGTTTGAGAGAGTTGATCTCAGACTCGGGAGAGCAAAGGATGTCCTCCGGTCCTGCAGCAGTGATCTTCACCAGGTACAGAAGCCATTTACCGTCTTTGTTCCATTTGGGCCACTGAATGTGAAGTGAGGCTTTGACTGAAGACTTCAAAGACTTCCACAAGTTGTTAATCTGAAGGAGAAATCAATATGTTATGATTTCAAAGACTATCAGGTTCTATGACAGCAAAGGTTGGATGAATAAACTTACTCTGAATGTATAAGTAATCAAACTTCCAATCTCCTCTTCTGTCTTCATGGCACTTTCACCTTTCACAACGCCTCCAAAAGAAACCTGATTAGGGCTGGCTTCTCTGATGAAAACAAGCAAAAGTATTAATTTACATACTTTTGGAGGCACTTTATCTGTAGTCAAACATTAGCTCCACACACTTACCCACTGACCGACAACGGCAATTCAATGATTACTTTAGCCTTCACTCTAACGGGGGCAATATCTTCTTGCACACTTGTACTGCAAGAAAAGAAAATACACAGATTTAGTACAATACTTTTATTTATGTTGGTGTAAACTTATCTGAAAATACAGGAAAAGCATGAAGCAGCAACACTTACGTTTGGATCTGCAGGTCGATGTCAATCTCCGTGGTGTCGACAGTCATACCCACAGTGCTCAGGATGATGTAAAATGTAACCTGGCGCAAAAAAAAACACATCTCTCATATTTCAAATACAACAACTAAGTGTCAGGATGAAACTAGTCCGTACCTTTGAGTCTCTCTTAAAAGGATTCCCCAGCTCACAGTCGGCTTGAGAGCCGTTCAGATTGGCTGTACAGATGATTGGCTTTTCCAGCTTGGAAACAAAAGCAGAAAGTTAAAACAAAGCTGCAACAAACGTAAGAGCAAGATAGCGTGGTGAACATATAATGTGCACAGTTTAGATTAAAACTGTGCATCTCTCTATCGGCTTTAATGTGTTTAAGTTTGTGTTTATTTTGTTTATTCATCTCTGTGTTGTCTGCCTGTATGTTTTACTCTGCTGTTGATTCTATAACAAGTCTCAGGTTCTTTCATTAATGCTTATGTCCAGTGTTTATAAGCTTGTAATTTATTGTCAGTCAGTTGGGTTCAATTGATTGAGTTATGTCGTCTTTTCTTGATAATTCTAGTGAGACTACACTAAGTTAGGAGGTTGTACAGCCGATTTATAATTGATAATCAGTTGTATGCGCAAGCTGTGTCATCAATAGATAAGTAATATTCTGTTGGTTTGCAGATAAGGACTCATGTTTTACATGTTGTAGCCTTTTGTGTTCTTTAATTTAATATGTCTATAATATAAAATCATCATCATTACATACATTATTTCTTTAACCTCCCTAAGCTACATTTTGACTGACCTAATTTTGACTTCTATTAAAGTTCATCCTTATTTGACTTGCTTTTGAGTAAAATGTCTTTTCAGCAGCAGTGCTTTAACTTGGGTAAAACATTCTAGTCTCTCTGCGTCCCCGGTCTTGTTTACCGTCGTCTGATGCGAGCGCACTCCAGAGTAAGACAGCGTGTCTGGAAACGTCCCCACCAGCTTAGCCTCGTATGCATCATCTTCATTCATGTTGTTGACGGTCACACGCAGAGCCAAGTCCTTCCTCTCGTAATTCAGATGGAACGCAGGGACGTTGTTATTGCTGCAAATACACAAACATAACCACTCACCTCAGGTGGAGTTTTATGGGAAAAAAACACCCTTAAGGTACATAATATATAGTTGTGTTTTCATATATTCAAATTGGCTTATCAAGCTGTTATAGTTGACATTTTACCAGCAGACACTGAGCAACAAACATGTAACTAAAGCAGCATTACAGTCATTTTTTTCTGGTGAATGTAACATCAGAGAAGCCGAGTATACAAACCAAAGCTAGCTTTCATATCATATGGAGCAGTGAAACTCCACCATTCAACCCACAGTATGTGTGGTACAAGCAGTTGTATAGTTATGATTCACTGTTAATATGAACAATGTTGTTTGATGCAGATTTAATCAATGAATTTGAGCTCATTTTTAGATCACATTCTACTCACATGGGCAGTGGGGAGTACACGTCTAGGTTGCTTTGTTTGTAGTATAATTTGTAGTTCATCTTCAGGTTACTCCGGCAAATATGATCACTTCCACATCCCTCTTTTACAAAGTTGACCTGCAGCAACAACAAATCACAACAAAACCATGTAAAAACTGTGCTCCGCTGTGAACCTTTTGTCATTAACTTAATGATAAATGCTGTATGAATGTTTACCTCAATGACGTCTTTGCTTGGTTGAGAGGAGTCTAATATGGGCATGAGTTGAGAGAGGCCGTTCCTCGTCTTCTGTCGTTTAGTACCCACAATTCCTGCAGACACCTCGATGGGGATGCTGCGCATCTTGTCCTTGATGTTGTCCTGTGCAAATCAGACACAGTCACCATGCGGTGCATAATATTTATCTCTACATGAGTTCTATTGTTCAGGAAAATCTTTTTTTCCTTTGTTAGAATTATTATATATATAATTTATAATATATAATATATAATATAATATAGTTTATTTCTGTGGCTTTTATTGTCATTGCTTTCATGCAGAAACAGAGTTGCTTTCAATATTGATTAATTGATTAATACTTTGGTCTATAAGTGTCAGAAAATAAGGCAAGATCACATCTTTTTGTTTCCTAAAGCATTATATCACCCAATCAAAGCTCAAATATATTTAATTTACTGTCACATAAGATAAAAAGCAGCAAATCCTCACAATTGAGAAGCTCCAATCAGATAATGTTGAAAAATGTCTGAGACGATTAATTGATTGTCAAATATAGTGGACGATTAATTTTCTGATGATCAACTAATTGATTTATCAACTTGTTAATATGTGTAGGATTGGTTTAGAAAGCAGAATTGTTTTGTATGCAAGAAAAAAGCTATTTCTGTGACATCAACTTTATTGACACAGTATGCGGTGTGCTCAGATGTGTTGCCACAAAAATACCTAAATATACCTCTCTGTTTTACGAGCAACAACATATTTTGAAGGCAGTATTCGCTGAGCTTAACAAGCGCAGACTAATAACTCCAACTGTTCCTGACTGTTGCTCTCTGAGTAGAATTTATCCTACAAATGTGATTTAAGTCTGTGGGAGATTCGTCTCACTTTTAGTTTGGCTGTTATCTTGATGCATGACTTCTGGTTTTGGCCGCGGAGGTCCAAGGTGCCATTTAACTGGTAGTCTGTTTCAGTGCGGGAGCTGTTGAGGAACATCACTCTGGAGGGCAGCCCATGTTTCCTGCGATCTCCATCCGCCTCGACAGAGTAGCCGATAACTGCAGTGAAGAGGGAAGCATCAAAAATGAACTGAACAAATCTTTTTTTGTTTTGTAAAAGAAGATTCTGTTTCAGCATTTCACTTACTTAGTTTGGGGTTGTAAGATGCAGTGTTTGCTTTCCAGGTGAAGCACACGTCCACCGTGAAGCTAAGAACAGGACATGGATTTGTTTTTAACAACAACAGAGGACGCTTTGACTATGAGGTCTGTTGAAATGTAGGAATGTTAGAGCACCTACCAAATACTGTTACCACAGGTTTTGATTGTAAGGTCAATTTCCTGTGGAGATATCTTGACATCTCTCCTGATGCTAATGACTGGCCGTGCCCTGAAATAAAGGTTGTTAAAAGAAGTTGTGGTACAAATCAGCAGTGTTTAAATTGACTTAAATATGGGTGATAATTACCTGTAGATCAGGGCTGTGTCCGACAGAGAGCCCACAGCCACATCTGGATAAGAGTTACTGTCCAAGTCCATGTTCCCTGCTAGAGAATATCCAAAGAGTCGCATGTTGTGCTCTTTTCCTGAAAGGATCTGTAACAACGGAGGAAATATTTAAAAAACGTGGTCAGCTAATTTATAAAATAACACAACATTGAAGTGTTATATTTAGTATCAGGAGCCAAACTGACTTTGAGAGTTTTGACAGGAAGTACTTCAATAACTCCGGGTTCCAGAGCAAAACTATGTATCAATACTAATGAAATGCTTAATGGATCATCACAGGGGAAAGCTTCGTTGTGAGTCCCTGTCCACAGGAAGGTCCAGGCAAATCAACGTCTTGAACATATGCAATAGTTTCAGAGCTTAAACCGGCAGTAACTGATGTTTTAGCCACATGGGGGCAGTGGAAATATGCTGTGAACACAACACTGACAAATGATCAGCTTTCAAACCCGAGTGATTTAGTATCCCTATGTGAACCTTTGTTAATATGAAAATATTGAGAACAAAGCCGACCTGTGCAGGGCTGGTTTTGATTCCTTGTGCAGAGCCATGATAAATGTAGACTTTTCCTGCACCGCCGTCATCATAAGGAGCTCCAATGGCAATGTCTGCATGAGAAAGAAACCAGTTGATGTGACAGAGACTGATAGAGAGACATAAATAAGCTACAAAATAGCAGCTAAATTACCTTCATATGAGTCTTGATTGATGTCTCCAATGTTTTCCACTGCCAGTCCAAACATGGAGTCTTTGGTCCCATTTAGACGAACAGGTGTGATTCTGTCCCACCTTCCTGCCTGGTTGACATAGACGTAAACGGCTCCTCCAACGTCTCTGTCCTTCATGTAGAACTGAGGGGCTCCCACAACTATGTCTTGCCATCTGAATCAAAGAAGGGGGGTAATGATTGACAAGTATCATACACAATATGAACAAAATCAAGAAATGATTGAATTTATACATTACAAGCAAATAAGATACCACTAGAATAAAGTAACCTTAAAGTAAGTCAGGTCCTTTCCTAAAATCTCAAAGTTTTACAGAAGTTTCTTTGATAACATGAATTATCTGTATCCTGAAGCAGAATAGAGACGGTGAAAATTTCCCTACCCATCACCGTTCAAGTCAACCACAGCCACGTCGTAGCCAAACGAGGACGCGAGTCCTGGCCCGTGCAGAGTGTGCTCCACCAAAAGTTTGGAGGAGGTTTGGCTCTCTTTCTTCAACAGGACCACAGCTCCACTGTGATTGGCTCTGGGTGCTCCAGCCACCACCGTCAGGCCACGGCTCCTGGTGATGCTGTGTCCCGAATCGAGGGAGAATCCTTAAGTGTGTGAGAGATGTTGTAGGACATAAACATCGTATTTTACACTGAAGAAAAGTTAGAGTTTCACCCCCTTTTTTCCCTAATTTGGAATAGTGAGGTAAAGACAACCACGTGTCTCAGTGCAGCACTTTCTTTTCACCTACCTTTTCTACCTCTATGCAGTAGCCCTGACGAACCACTTGGAGTCACTAGTGCAGCATCAACAACAATATGTGTGTCACTGAAAATCATGTTTAGAATTATGTTTAGGCTACTGCAGCGGTTCCAAAACTTGTTCTGTCTGCCCGTCTTTACCAGCCGGAAATGTAATCAACTGGTAACAATACTGTGGAAACTTCTACCAAAGAGAGTGAAGATTAATCAGATTTTAAAGATATAATCAAGAACCTGAGCTGCATGTTTGCTTCAAGCATGTCATTAGTTTCAGATGTGATGATTAAAAATACCATTTTGCCCCAAACTGCCACGGTATATTCTTCTACTGGCGTGAATGTCAATAGGGAGGAAAAAAAATGAGAAATGCACCTCAATACGCATTTCCAACAAAAACTGAACATTATAACGTTTTTAAAGGTAGAATTCATGGCAGAGCTGTTGTGTTGAATTCAACTTTAGTTTCACTCCAAATGTCCCAGAGTAAAATGGCAAAAGATTTTCCCACACTAATGAACACTAATGTTGAGGCAAAGATAGAAAATGCTTCAGTAAATCACTTCTCATGCCAAATTTGTAAGCAATGCAAAGCCCTACAGAGGGAGTAACCACAGTGCATCGATGAACCAACAGGACACAAGTTACCCACAAATATAGTTCCGTTTTGTTTGTAGAAACCCACCGAGGTAGCTGTTTGCAGGTACAGGCACAAGCTCTGGGCTCAAGAGATGCTCATCTCCAACTTCATACGGGCCGTCGTCATACACTCCCATCTCTATCAGAGTGTTGTTCTTTTGCTCCACTCGAACTATGCCTGCAGAAATGTTTATTTCATGATTAATAAAAAACACATATATTTTATTTCTTATTTTAACAGAATCTGGAACTTTATTCTCTCAGTAAATGGTGTTATTCAATATGTGTGTGTGTGTGGTTAGTGAGTGACCTTTCCAGTTGTAAGCTCCTGGTGCTCCAAACACCACATAATGGTAGTCCTTGGTGAAAGTGGCAGCCACACCCTGCTGGCAAGATCCAAACATCTCATGGCCTCGGGGTCTGCCCTTACAGAAGTTCCAGTTGCCTCCATCCTCATCAGACAATGGGTCGATGGTCAGGTCCTGACTCAGGACATAACAGCGTCCGGTGATGTCCCGGTACTCCAAAGGCGTGTTCACATATAAGCGCCTCTGATAGCGATGAGCACAAGTCTGAAATTGCAAAACACAGTTGAGTTTAAGTTTTTATAGCCCATAAGACCATATTAGGCCTGAATGTTGATGGGAACGTTGCTTCACATGCTCAGTTTGACTCACCACAATCTTTCCCCCGGGTCCCTGGCTCTGAACCGTCACCCCCATCCACTGATTCTCCTTGTTCTCGACACGCACGTCCTCTTTCAAAGTTTAGTAACACAAGACAAAAATGTAAGCATTTATATTCATATATTCATATATTTGTAAATGGTACTGTATATGCAGACAGACAGACAGACAGACAACTCACCTTCACTATCAAATTCAATACGCTCACAATCGTTGGACTGAGTGATTTCACATTTATAAAGGCCTCCTGTGATGTTGGCTGTCTGTTTTCCCAAAGCTCTGGCTCTGGGTGCTCCAATCAATAGCCTGAAGAAGAAGAAAAAAACAATATTATCAAACTATTATTTACTGAAGCAAACCGAGATGTATTGATATGTACTGAGATGGTTTTTCTGAAGTAACTGTCTGCTACACCTTCAGTAAGTCATTTTCTACTTTTCTAAGCTCCAGGGCAGCAGCTTGTTGAATTTAGTTACAAGATCGACTGTGACAGAGACAGAAATGGCATTTCCTGCCTATAAAAATGTGCCACATGTCGTCTGGCTGTTATCTTGAAAAGCTCATGTTGTGGCTGCTGTTGGCAGGGCGAGTGATTTCTTCTTCATTTCTCCATCCGACTGTCACAGTTGTCAAAAACTGTCAAGAAGTAGAAGAAGTAAAGAAAACAGCCAATTGACAATACAAGCTTGTTTCAGATTAACAAGTTACACGTCGCTGAGCTGCAAGTATCTCTATCATTTTCAGAATCAACAAGAATTAAGAACAGTAGGGCCTAATAGTTAAGGTTATGTCATACCCCCGTACTCCTATCTCTCTGATTCCTGTCTGTATTTACACTGTCACTACCATTGACTTTCAATTCAAGCCGCAATTTGGAGCATGTTCACTTCAACCATAGTTCATTGACCACAACTTCTTTGCTAAATCCACAGCATCATGCAGCCTCAGCAAGCATGCAGAAGCAATGTGTTTCTAGTTGGGTGACCGCAGCAACTGGAACAATTTACTTATTAACTTCTCTTTTACGCAGTAATTCAAGAACTAGACACAGACAAAAAAAAATATCTCTCATGTTATATGATTTTAAATGAAGTAAGGTCACAATATTTGTGAATTTGTACTTCTGAATGAAATATCATCAATGCCTTGGGACATGACTCACTCAACAAAACGATAATCTGATTTGGTTGCAGCAGGCATAGTTTTGTATTTATCTTTGTGAACTATCACATGACTTTACTTCAAATGAACATAATTGGACACCTGAAATGTGTTGAGTTCATCGTGCATACTGAGAAATCAACAGAAAAGATTCTCTCATAGAATAAAAGTCCACTTGTTGATGAAATCATCTCATTTCTGTTTTCACAACTTGGTTCATAGTTAAGTAGTTAACCTTTCAATTTCCACGACATGGTGTTGTTTATCTTGTAAGCAGTTAGCCATTAGCTAATCCCCCTAATTGTTTTTTCTTGTACACAGTTCACATGATAATGGAGACATGTTTGCCACTCGGTTTTCTTAGTAACTGTTTAAACAATTGGGTCCTTAATTTCAGTCGAACAAAAAAAAAGCAGGCATCCCACTTCTAGCTGGCAACTGCCAATTTTTGGCTGAAATGACGACTGTCCCTGTCAGACTTATCAGCTGTAGCTAGCTAGCTAATTACGCTAACGTAATTTGGCTCTGTGAGTTGGTTAAAAACATATTTTAAATCTTTTCAACTGACTCTGTTTTAAATAAATAAGTCAGTGATGGGGCGAACTTGCATAGCTGCTTTATTATCATCCATATCAATTGAAAAGACTTTGTGTTATAACTATCTGACAACTCAACAATATAGATCAAAAATGTAAAACGCAATTCTTCATGTGACCTGAAAGACTTGAAATGACTCGCAATGTACTTATGAAGACTTGAGACTCAGCCTTGGTTTGGATTTTTCACACTAAAGTATAGTATAATTACTGTAGTAAGATTATCAAAACTACCGAAATACTTTTTTTTGGGAGAAAATATTGCAAATAGCACACAGCTGCACTATCGCGTGTGAGCTAGGCTGGTCAGCTCAGTGTAGGAATTTTGTCAAAGGACTGAGAGGAAATCCTCTCCACCCTTTTCTCCTCCCTGTGACTCTGCAGTTCCCTCAGTAACCCAGTAACCTATTGATCTTGGGACGGCCCCGTGGCTCCTCATTTCTTGAACAAGGACTCTTCTGACTGAGGAGGACTGATGTGAGACTGAAGACCAGATCCTCTCCTCAAACAAAACCCAGTGAAATGCAAATACAAACAAGAGCCTTTAAAAAGTCGGCTTCACTGACACTTCAGCTTCCGAGCTACAGTAGTTTAGCCCAACAAGAACTGCAGAACATGAGAAACATTGACAACGCTGTTATTTTATATCAGACAAACCAAATAATATTTTCCAACACAACACCACTGCAATCTACTGCCTCAGAAATTACCTCAGAGTTGAACCAATAAATTACATTTGATTGCTTTAGATTTAAAGCAACAGTTGATTTGAAATTAATCAGCTGTTGCTTTTATAATCAATACATAATTTCGGTCTTTTCAAGCAAAGAGGGCAAACATTTGCTGGCTCCAGCTTCTCAAATGTCAAGATTTGATGCTTTTCTTTGTCATATATGGTAGCAAACTGAATATCTTTGGTCAAATACAACATGCTACAGAAATAAGTCACCTGTGACTGTGGGGAATTTCGTAGAGGATTGTTCACAAATTTCTGACATCTTATAAACAAAATGATTAATCGAGATGATCAGCAGATTTGATGATGATCCTCAGGCGGCCCCCTCTTTGTCAATTAATCGGTTGTTTTGGTCGACTAAGATTTAATTAGGTAATAAGTCATTTCTTTATGCTTTTTCATGCTGAATGACTTATTTCCAAGAAACTTGTGAGCACATCTCTGGTAAACACAAGATTTAAAGTGGTGCTTTTGTGTGATTATATGTGGAGAAACTCAGTTTCACAGATCTGTTGATTAAACCAACTAATCATGTGAGTCCACTAAAAAATCTCTTGGGTCGAGGACAGCCCTGTAGATTTCACAGGTGTTTATGCAGAACAAACACCAGATTTATGAAGAGACCGTAACAACACCTCCAACTCAACAGCACAGCTACTCTGGAAAGTGACAGCTGTAGAATTTAGCAAGTAGCTGAGGGGTAACATTGACATTTACATGCAACACGCCCTGCAGCAGAAATGAATGCAATGTTTGTTTGTGATGATAGTATGAACTATAAAGCTGCAGACTGTATTCTTTACTCTACAACTACTACAGAGCCTGAACCCAGTAACAGCCAGGCTACAGCGTGAAACCACGTCCCATCATGCAGCGTGTCTTTCGGTGCAGTGTAAATGGAAATACACAGTGACTGGTGTTGGGTTTACAGAGTGATCTCACTGGTCTTTGTTAACAGATGTGGTCCGGTGCTTCCACAGCTGTGCACTCAAAGCCACAAGAACTGCTGCAGCTGTTCTAACTGTTTCAGTTTACACACACACACACACACACAGACGTTGATTGGTGCTGACCTGTGATTGGCTGGGTACACATCACAGAATAAATCATGAATATTCACTACAGATACAGACCAACTATAAGTAAAGAATCCAGTTTAAAACAAAGACTAAGTCGCCCATTTTAACTGTTTATTAACCATATTTTAAGCAACACAATCACTCTGGAACGTCAGTGTGAAGTTTGACTGGAATGTCTCGACCGATGGTTCACTGATGCGTTTAATCTATCAGGTTACATGTGCACAGATGGCCGTGTATGTCCAGTCAAATGTCCGTTTTCTCTGGTTTCATTCAGAGGATGTTATATCCTCATCATTAACCCAACACAGTATTCATGGAGGGGGCATGCAGTTGCTCCTTTGCACAATGCCGCGTTTTTGTTCAGTCTCATGTTGAAACATGGGTCTCCTTGTTTCTTCCACTCATCACAGACCAATGAGAGGCGTAATAACACCATCAAGCCGAGTTTTGCTTTTCAATGAAGCCATTAGAGGAACAACATGGAGAGAGTGGCACACATGGATGGAAGCAATATGAGTTTAAAATCACTGTAATCACAAAAAAATAAGTTTTTTTTTATTGCAGTAAAGTGGGGCAGGTTTGGCTTTTAGCTCTGAAGGGATCAAAGGCCAGTTGGGGTTTCACATTAGAGGAATTGAATCGATCTACTAGTCACACATTTTGCTCACCAAACATATTCAGTGTTTAGAAAGGACTTCTCTTTTCACACATAATGTATTATTATCACATTAATACACGCAGTGACAGCCAGTAGAGTTTCACAGCTGCTGGCGATCATCAGAAACATCTTCGTATAAGCACAGAAGAGACAGATGCAGATGTGTGTGACGCATTGCTGGCGTCACTGTGCCTCACAAGCTTTGAGTTAGACGGGGCTGTTCATTACCTACTTCTGTGTGCTCTACTGAGCTTTCACTTGACTCTGCTGGCTGAAAATCTCACGTGAATACGTGAGGATTTGGAGCTGAGGCGGGAGAGCCGCTGTCAGTTACAGTGCAGCGTTTTTAGACCGTAACACAGACTCAATGTGTTTTCAACCAGGATGTGAGAGGACAGCAATGCGAACAATTAGAACGAGGGCTGCAACGAATGATTGACTTCATTATTTATGTATTTAGTTGTTAAGAAGTCAATCTCAATTTTATACTGATGCCTCTATATGAGTTAACAAGACCATCAGCAGTACGCTTGGCTATATCTGTAATTGTTAATGATATGAAATCATGCAGGTTCACCAGAAACTCCTTCAGCTTTAGAATTTCACCTCGCTGCTCTGCCGGTCCCCGCTGGGAGCCAACACCACGCTGCTGGAGGCCTAAGGTGTATTGCTGGGCCCGCTGGAGAGAAAGGAGGCGCGGGAAAACCAGAACCAGGACTGAACACTGTCAGACCCTGCTGCAGTAAAATTAGAGCTTTCCTAAAGGGAATCTGATTCTCGGAAACACCACCACTTTTCTCCACAGGGACCGCCAAATTCAACACAAAATGAAAGTTCCTTGTAGCAGCTTTAAAGCTAACCAAAGCATACGCCAAAAATTGCAAAACTATGCAAGGATGCTGTTTGTTTCTGTTCTTCGAGAAGCAGCTTTTGCACATGTTGGCAGATTTTGTGTAGTATGATTGGTAAAACTGGAGCAGCTTCCTCATAGATCCTCATGTAAGCGAGGTGAATCTTCACTCTCCTCTTACTTTTACTGGCTGAAAACCAAATATCAGGCCAGTGTCACATTTCGAGCCTGTTTGTCCAACACATATGACTTTCTCTTTACACTTGGCAACTCTGACAAATATATAAGTGCTTCTTTTCAGGATGCAGGCTTTGCATGGAAGAATCCTTGTAAAAAAAAAAAGAAAGAAGAAAGAAATGACAGCTTTGAACTTTCTTCACTCATTACACCACGAGCTGCTTTTGCACATTAGTCAAAACACTTGTAAGATAAAATTCCACAAGTTAAGCCTGATCTATGTGATATCTCTCTATGTCACATTATCAGGGCTCCTTATCTGTGCTCTCTGTTTCTCAACATGCTGCTGCAGGACCCTGTGCCTGCTGGTCACAGGCTTTGACATGCCCCCCCCTCCTCCTCACTTCACCCCCGTTACACTTGTGTGGCAGGTTGATCAGGCTCACTATACATTGGTGTCTTTTTGCTCCCTCGGGGCTGGCCAAAGGAAACAATTTACTGTAGTGCACACATGATAGCAGAATCAGAAATCCTTTAAATGCTTCCTCACAATTTAACCGCTGTTAACTCTTATTTTGGCACAATTACAAAACATGTGGGCCCTGAATAATTTGTGCATGAATGAAGAATGTGCATTACAGGGTGCACTTGCCATTAACACTCACTGAAGTCCTTCCTTCTTAGTACTTTTCTTAAAACAAACTTTAAGTAAAACTTGTGTGGGAATACACCTGTCCTTACTGTTTTACTGTTTTACAGAGAACCCCAACAAACAGCACTCATTAGTGGGAAATTACGGATATTAAAAAAAAATAATCTAAACGTAACACACTGAATGCATCTATCTTGGGCTAAAACAAATCATTATCGATTAATCTATGAATAATTTCTTCTTCTTTTTAGTAGTGAAAAAAAACGTCAGAAACTGGTTAAAAAAATGCTTGTTTGTTCTCACAAACAGTCCAAAGATGTTCAATTTACAATCTTATCAAAATTAGAAAAAGCAGCAAATCCTCACATGCCTCATAGATCCTCAGAACCACCTCTTTGAGAACAGTTGCAACATTACAGCTCTCCTCTCAGTGTGACCATACAGGCACATTTACATCACAGTTGTAACCATTGTGTATTCACTTGTTGTCTTTAGACTCCTCACCATTTCATATTCAAAGCACCACGGGGAGACTGCTATTGAAATTGAGAACAAAAACACGAGAAGAAACACTGTGGGCTTTAGTAGAAAGTGACTACAGTATTTTTATAGGTTGCAGCAACGCCTGATAACCAGTGGATAGAAATCAGTTTGTTTTGAAAAAGGAGAATCCCGAATAAACAATGTTTCCTGCACAGGAAAAACTTATTCAGACAAAGAAATTAGGATGAGGATCTTATAAAAGTTAAGATGGACTTTTGTCATTTACAGAAACCTTTCGCGTCAGGTGCACGTTTAAATTACAATCACTGGCGGATGAAGGCCAACAGAGCAGTAAAGGTGTACAGTGGAAGAACACCACTCACATTCTTTTATCCGGGTTGAGTTGCCGGTGCATGGCGAGGGAAAACCCGAACAGACTCCCCGGCTCTCCGTCCTTCCTGATGACATGACTGGTGTCAAGGTTGAATGCGAGCACCAAAGTTGGCTCCAGAAAATGAGAATAAAATAAAAGTGCAGCATAAACAGCAGAGGGTCTTCCCCGCTGCAGCAGCAGCAGCAGCATTGCAGCGCTGTCCAGGTGAGTGCAGTAGTCCAAAGTTGTAGAGCCGCTGACCCCGCTGCTCCTCTCCGCTCTGCCCGGTCTCTTTTAACTGAAGCCTGGTTGTTCCCCCGCCGGACTCTGCGCTCCCGCTCCACAGCGCTCCCTTCGGTCACCAGTGAACAGTGAGGGAAGTAAAGGAGCAGTCGGGATTTTTTTTATAATATTTGAGGTATGTTTACATAAAACCAGTGATAATAGCAAAAAGGTGATGGATAGATAATGCATTTATGTGCCTTTATACACTGTATGCACTGTTGCGCATGAGTTGATTACATTCTATCATTTTATCTTTACACTACCATAATCTGGAATTTTACATTCCTTTTATCTGTGTGAATGTGTTTGTTTGTTGTGATTTTATGTGTAATGTTTGCAAAACAGCTTCATTATCTTATATCTTATCATTTAGACCTGTGCGTTCTTGTCAAAATGTCTTCTGGTAAAAAAAAAAGAAAAAGGGCCTATATCCTCCTGGGAACCGAGGGAAAAGAGTGTCTTCCAACTTCTTCTTTTTTTGTGATTTTCCTATTTAGAGTTTAAAAAAACATCTTACAATTTAGACTTTTTTAAAAATATTTTTATTTTTAATTTTACAGCATGTCCACTGTAGTGGACCACAGGACCATTTTATTGTGAAAAGACAGCCAAATATAGAAGATAAAAAAATAAGGTATTTTTTTTATTAAACTGAACTAAATTGTTTGAGGTAACAGTTATGAAATGTATCATAATTTCCATATGGTTGTCACACATGTTGAAAATTTTAAAATAAGTATGGCACATTCAAAATAACATATATTCAGACAACCATCCAACAACCAAGACTTTTCACGGCTTTGCTTCACAGCTCATCATCTACTGCTGTTGGTTCATATGTGAAATACAATATATCAATTTATCAAGTTATTTTTGGCTCACGTATGAAAGGAGTTAAAATTCCTGGAGTAGAAGATAAAACTAACAAATTGCTCTCTAAATGCCAGAGTTGTTGATCATTTTCAGACCTAAAAATTGTGTCAGAGATGTTTGAGAAACACTAGAATAGCTTTGGACAAAATTTATATCAAAATCTAACTTTATACATGTATATCATCTAAATGCATGGCCAGTTTTCTCATTTTCCTTCTAAATGCCTCATTTAAAGAGTTAAAAATAAAATAGTAATGCCATTAGAACCAAACTAGGAAATTTGTATTTTAACATTGAGTAGCTTTTATGTTTCTATACATAAGGGCAATTATCTATCATACAGTATAGGCTTTACATGTTCTATAAAATAGGACAAATAACAGCCAAGGCCACACTAATTAAGGTTGTTTTTCTATTTCAGTTGGTTGAACACAGATAAACAGCAAGTGTTTCACTCAGCTGGACAAATAAACCTCCCAGATTCAGCCAGACAAGCTGCTGAAGGTCACTAAAAGGCTGAACTATCTTTGGAGGGATTGGAATTTCAGTCAATGTCATGATTTATTGGAAAAACCCTGATTCACTGCGTGACTACTTGAACATAGACAATATACTCTGATTTGGGCGTTGATCATCCATTCATGAATTAATAAAATATTAACGCAACAACACCTGCTAACCTGACCATGTTCATAAATAATGAATAACTGTACAGACAAAGGTTTTGTGGTTCTGTGTTCTTGAAACACATGAGAGATCTTCAGGACATCCCAACACTGATTTCATTTCTAAAACGTTTTATGATCTTCAAGAAATGCTTTCACAAACACCTCCACAAACTCTCCTTCAGGATCAGCCCCACAGTTACTGAAAAGCTGGCAAAAGTTTTGAGGTTTCCACCCACCAGCAGCAGTGATATGAGCCGGCCAAACCTGCAGGAAACATAAAACAGCGTCATTGTATCGTCTCCTCGCTTTTATCACTGTATCTGTGTTTGATGCTGGTGTGAAGTTTGAATCAGCCTGACCAAAAATCCTCAGCAGAACACAACACAATGTGGGCATTGTTGAAGTTAGGAAGCGTGTGTGTGTGTGTGTGTGTGTGTGTGTGTTGGCAGGCAGGCAGTGGCTGAGGGGGGTGATGGTCTTACCCACATTCCTAATTGCAGCAAATGACTTGGGAGGTTCTGGTGTGAGATATGTGAATGGCATCTCTGTTGCTGTGGGTTTGGTAACGGATGCTTCAGATGCATCATCACAAGCCTCTTCACTGATGTAAGCTTCCCATTGACCTTCTTCTACAGGCTCCTCACTGGGGAAAGATAATTCTTTCATTGATAAAGATACGCCCCCTCATTCATACAAACTCTGTCGGGGACAACAGTCTTAACTTTAAGCACAATTGTGCTGTCAGTGCTGTGTATTGATATTGCAGGATTTATTTTATGGATTCCTTCACCTGTTGCTTTCTATAAGCATTCCATTTCACTTGACTGTTCACTATTGAAATGATATCCCTCATTCTAATTAAATATTAATTAGACTCTGATTAACACTGATACAGTTATTCTTCATAGTTCGCAGTAATATTGATGAGCAACAAACTAAAAGTTTTCATATGGACAGATACACATCATATCATGCATGCTATGGTATATAACCTATTACAATGCATTATATAGGATCAGGTGCAATATGTATATCCTTGTATGCTTGCAAAACTGTAGATCCCTATTGGTGCAATTGATAAATCTAAAGGACCAAAAAAATGGTTTCTGAAATTGCTTACCGAGTGTGGTCTGTGTGTGTGTGTGTCCCTGTGAGCAAAAAGGTGTGTATAGCTGCCTTTACCTGGGTTCACCCAACCACACAAACGGCACTTTCATGTCCACTTTTGCCCTGGGTGGCTGTGTAACACGAGCTGCAAGAGGAGGTGAAGTTCAATGGTCTCATATTGTCTCAGGTCAGTGGGAATAGAGAAACCGGAGATTTGGTGTAGGTTCAACAGGTGGACTCCTGCAGGTGACGAGGCTTTTCTTCACAGATTAGCTGCGCGTTTGAAGGAGCAAAATGGATGGTGACTTCAGAAAGGTCTGTGTGGCCCCCTCGTCAAATCACTGGTGAAGATATTCAGTTAGGTAAATATTTAGGTTCCTTTTTCTAGTGCCACCTACATATTCCATCGTTAAAGCTAAATATTGATTATCCTAGTCTTAATCAGAAAAACAGTCTTTCTCACATTCAGGGAGACTGTTTTTATTCAAGATTTTTAATGTCACAATGTTTTAGTTAATGGAAAACCTCTTTCCTTGTCATTCTTATAGACCATCTATACGTTTTTCACAATAACAGCATGTTGAAAATGTGTCTTTCTATAAAAAGAATTGTATTTGCAGAAAAGTTATATATAAATATGTAATACTTGTAAGCATGCCGTTATTAGCCTCAGCCTGCAGAGTCTGAACATTGCAATTACAGCCATTTAGCTACAAAGTTCTTTAAATGTAACATGTAAACATGGGTTTTTGTTGAGATTCTGTTGAGATTTAAATGGTTCATTATTATTGATAGTTGGATTACACCAACTTTCCACCTTCTTGCTGAAATTATTAGATTTTAGACGTTCTGGAACTCAAAATCTGGTGAGACATGAAGGGCCAACTCCTCGAGTTTAACAGCCATGCAGTCAACATTACAGAGACTGTTTGAGGAAACCAAACCCCACAGTTATCAGAGAGGCAAGGAAACATGCCCAAGATGCACAGTTGTCATGGGCATAGTGATGACTACAATGCAATGCAAACAGATGGGTGTTGTTACTTTAAACGCAGGATATCTGAAATACTTTAATGTAGGCACAGTTGAATTGATGATGACATTTATACAGCACACAGAGGCATGTCAAATTGATAACATTTAATGCTGATTCAGCAATCCTGTGAGGAGTTTACATCTGTGCTGCAATCTGAACGACTCGCAACACCCGAGTGGTACCGGTGGTAGCGGTTGGATTTCACTGATTCGCCACCATCATGCTGAAATGATTATGTTTTAAGAGCTCTGAAACTCAAAACCTCGGTAAGACAGAAGGGCCAACTCCTTCTGTTGCACAGTAATGAAGCCAACATAACAGAGACTGGTGGAGGAAACCAAACCCAAAAAAGTTGTAGGAGAGACAAGGCAGCCTGCCCAAAATGCACAGTTGGCCTAGGCATTTATGGGGGGGGGGGGCTGGTGTGCCAAGAAACCCTTCTAATGAATGCAATGCAAAGTTAAAACAGATGGCTGTTGTTGCTAAATGACATCTGATAGACTTAAGTCAATGACCTACCCTGCTGATAATGAGCATGTAAGATTGATTACATATCACGCTGGATTTTCGACATCCTTGGTTAGAGTATTACTTATCTGACTCGACACACAAATCTGTGATTACATGGTCTAAAATATGACCAGTGGGGGAAATTAAGAAAGGAGGTAATTATCGGACGTACATGGCTAGTAAGACTGGAATTAATATAATAAGCAAAAGTATAGTAAGTACAAACTTAGTCTTAGAGGTACGTGGATGCTGAGTGAGTGCTGAAGTTGTGTCTGCATCAGTGGTTGTGTGAAGCGCGGCGTTAAATCATACTGTGTGAAAAAGGGGAGCAGCTGATCCTGGTCCTGTTGTGACAGTGCCGTGGTCCTTTGTAGGGAGACCATCCGCAGTAAATCTGCTCCACTCCCCTCGCACAAAGGACTGCTTCCATTTATGGGTCCTGGGTGGGGGGTGTGCCACTGAGTCAACAATGAAGGGAGCGGGACCTCGCAGACCTCTCTGAATTCTTTCTCATGGCAGGCCGTGCAGATGACACAGGGAATTCTGGGGATTCCTTTGTTATCCCCGCAAAGTGCAAACCAATTTTTGCATTGATGCAAAGGAATTGCATAGGGTGTATTATCATTATGTCACGACAATCATACAGCTGGCGGGGAATTTACTTGAGCTGGAATCAGTTTTTTTGTGAATTACTCAAAAAAGGTACAAAGATCAGGTTGTGTTTTTTTTTTTTTATACATCAGCATTGTCTCAATTGAGTTCTGCCTTTTCTTGAATTTTGTTATGGGCTCAAA